GGGCAGTCGAAAAAATGAAATTGTAAGGCAGAAGGGAATAATGATGAGAGCGAAAAACGATATCCTTGAGACGGATGATGATATGAAAAGAGTGTAATGGTTGAAAAGGACACCGTAATAAAATAAAAATTTATTGCTTATAAAGAAAAAATAAGCGAAACGTAACTAATAAGTAAGGAGTAAAAAATAAGCCGATAAAAGACAATGAAGGGAAAGAAATCGAAAAATGCATAGGAACGCCAAACGTAGCCAAAAAATTATTGCAATCATAAAGTCCAATAGGTTTTCGGGCTTGCAATAAAAATTTTGCCACTGTAGAAACGTGACACTAAAAGAATACGGAGAGGAAGAGCGATGTAAAGAAAATATATAAAATATTCAACTGCAATAAAAAGGCAAAGTCGTTAACATGCTGAATAGAAGTGTAGTACAATCGAAAAGACAACGGAGGATTGAAAAATTGCAACGATGGGGGCAATGGTCAAAACAGAAAAGTAACTGCAAAAGGAAAAGCTAAAATTTACGAATATTTTATTCAACTATTATATGCAAGAAGTACATGACAAAATGAAGTAAAAAGTAAAATAAAAGCTACATAAAATTAAAAGTAAAATTCGAAAGGAATAGTACTCGCTTGCCGAGTCAACTAAGCAGCCACATGGTGTAACTTACAGCATAGACAGACGGCAGCGCTGATCCGGATCAATGCGTTATTTCGAAATCAGCTCGGGAATTAACTGGAGTTGATCCGGATTGAGTCACAGAGTTAATTATCAAAATGTATGCTAGCCGAGCGTCTGTTGTGAATGATAAATAAACGAAACACACAAAGTAAATGAGTTCGGCAGGGCCAAGGTCATTATTATTAATATTATTTCATTTTACTTTGTTCTATTTAGTTTTATAATATTTCAAGTTAATTTAATTGTTTAGAGTTAAGTTTTTATTAAAAATGTCCACAACTCTGATTACATTAATAGAGCAATTCTGGCTAAGATTGGTTAAAAGTAATTAAATTTTCTTGCTTTTTTTAATTCATTTTTTTTCTTTCTTTAATTTTTTGATTTGATTGCCTTAAAATGAAAAATGTATATTTTTTAATTTTATTTAATTTTTAGAGGGATATTTTATGTATAAAATTTGTTATTTTATGTGTAATTTTTTTATTACATGTATTTTTCTTTCTTTTTAATTTAGATTTTGTTTAATTTAATTTTCTTTTAATTTTTAGATTAAATGTTTTTTTTTAGAAAAATATTTTTTTATTAAATGTAATTTTTAGAAAACTTATTGCTAAAAGACAAACGAAACAACGCTAGCAGATCTTTCAATTAGTCCTTCGTAAGACAGAAAAGAGCTTTCAAGAGTTGCCACAATTGGAAACGACAGCTGTCCGAATTGCCCTATAAATAAAATAAAGTAATTAAAGGAACTAAAAAAATATAAAACAACATCTGCTGGCCGTTGGATTCGATCCCGCCTCAGGCTACAATTTTATCAGATCAGCTGCTCCGTTAATGCGTATTAACTCTGCCGTCTGTCTATGCTATAAGTTACACCATGTGGCTGCTTAGTTAGTTGAATCGGCAAGCGAACACTATGGCTGTGTTGGCTGGCTTCAACGTTGCGTGGATATTGCGCGGGCAACAAAAGGACATTGACATTTTGTGGCACATACGCTGATGACGAGGGCTAAGAAGAAGAATAATAAGCATAAAAAGAGAGGACGTAGAAGAAAAAAACTGGAAAAGAATCCTATGGCATAATAAAGTAGCAAAACCGAAAAAATACATAGTAGATATATTTATATGCGACCGCATACTCCACCAAAAGTGCTAAAAGTGCCATACTCGACTTTTTCCCCCATTCACGCAAAGCTCAACGCACACAAATACCCAAGTATCAACGAGTTTGGGTGATTTTTTTTTTGTTGCTACTACTGTTGTACACTGTCAAGTCGAATGAATGACTCATAGCGATTTCTGTGCCACAATGCGCCGACAACAGTGGAGTGGATGGCAAAGCAAGTGTGGCAAGTGAGCAAGCAAGCAGGCAGGCAGGCAGAGGGGGCGGGGGGGATGGGCGTGTGCACATAGGCAGGCACTCGCAGTTCGATGAATTTTAACACATTTTCAGCACATGAATATCTCTGTATCGCGTGCATATAAAAAAATTCTTAATACATATTATGCATGTATGTACATGCAATAATTGGTTGTAATTGTAGTTGTACTCGTATTAAGTATCTGTTATACATATACATACATATGTAGGCGGCCTGTTGCCGCGTGCAGCAGGCGGGCGGTCGGTAGGCGAGTGAAGCAAAAATGCTTAATTGCGTTAAAATACAAACGAAAGGGATTACAATTAACACAAAAAGTCAAGTGTTGAGTGCGAGTGCGAGTGCAGGGGGAGGTGGTTAGCTTACAAATGCCATACAAAGCATACTTGTGTAGCTACATACGTACATACAGACATACTACATCCTTAAGTGCAAAAACAAAACTATTCAATATTCATGTGACAAGCTGAACGAATACAAAATTATACATGCAACAACAAAGAGCGAAAAAAAAACATGGAAACACATAACAAGAAAAATCACTTCAAACGTACAAAGAAAGGTTGAGAAAAAAAGGAAGTGCAAGTGAATGAATTCAAATGAAATAAAACAAGAAAATTATAAAAATAATTACATAAATAATAAAAACAAAATGAATAAAGCAAATTAAAATAAAACAACACTTTGATAGAGATAAGGATAAGGATAAAGGTAAATTGCAAATAAGTACTAAAAATAAACATATCAGGGAATTTCCAAAATTAGTACAACTGGAAAAGAGGTGAATATGATAAGAGTAAAAAAAAAATAAAATATTTGGTGTTTTGGTTGCGAACCCCTCTCGAATAACGATTTGATCGGTGAGTTGGGCGAAAAATTCAAGTTTAGATGAAGATATTATTTTGTAATTGACTTCATCTGTAGTTTAGAAACATTGCTGATTTTATTTTATTTTTTTTTGCATTTTTCTTTATTCTGACAAACTCAATTTAATTACTATTAGCAAGTAAGATCCTTCAATATGTATAATATTCTTGAGTAGCAACAACTTCAAGTGCTTACTCATGAAATTTCAAAACTTGTTAAATGCATTAACGCTCAGTGTTATACGTATCCCCGCAAAAAAACAAAGGCAGAAGCTGAATAATTAATCATCGCGCTAAATCAAAGAATAAAACTAAGTGAACCACGCCCACATAAACATTAATCGCCCTCAAATGACCAAAAGATCCTTTTGCAAGGTTAAGTATGGCTTCAGGCTGGACAAAGAACAAGTCATGAACTATGGCTCGTATGGTGTGTATTACACACACATATGTAGGTAGGCGTGTTAAGCAACATGTTGCGCTGCAACATTTAACGAATAGGTAGTTAAAACGAAAGCGTGCCTGTAAGTAAATTCGTGCAGTCAAAACAAAAGAACAGTTAAAGCCGATTAAAATGACAGCAATGCATACAAAGCTGAAAGTAGGTTGCTGACACACAAAAAAGCAAAAAACAAAAACCAACAACACACAAAAAAGCAAAAAACA